TACCTATGTATCAGCCCTTTTCAAATCTTTCCTCTCATGCCCACTCCTACCCCAAAATACAATCTTTGACATAAAAAGGAGAAAAGGTGACTGTCCCCCTTTGCTTTATCTACCACTCTCAACCCCACGCTCCCTCCACCGCCCCACCATTACCCTTCTCTGCTCCAGACAAGAGAAGACTTGCAGGCCACACCCTGTCTGAAGTCATTGTGTAGATGATATTATCATCTGAACCCACAGCCTCTCCTTTTTCCTCTTCTCTATCCCTTTCTCTATAATATACACCTTTCTTTTCAATGCCTTCCCCTATCTTAATTGGTCTAGTCTCCCTCATTTCAAACTGAAAAGGTTCTGATTTTCATTTTCAACTGAACATGATACAGAGTACACTCTCACAGAAAAATGCCTTTTCCATTAATTGTGGGATAAAAACCTTTGATTCCTAGTAAATAAACTTCAGCCATCAGAGAGAAGATGGAGGTGACACCCGCTTCAGTTCTTGGGGGTGGAGGAAAGGAGATGAGACAGATCAAAAAGTGGGGCCCTCAGCCTCTGCCTTCTGACTCCTACGTCCTTAGAGCCCTCCTTTCCCTCCTGCCAGGAAGTTACTCCCAGCTGCAGCTGCATCCATTGTCTTTGGTTTGCCTGGGAATTACTGGGCATAGCACTGGCACCTTCTTGTTGCTGCTGCAGCCCTGCGACTGGGAGCAGGTACTGCTTGAATGCAGGGCCTACACGATTCACTTACCACCTGCCCTCCCCGCCTATCTCAAAACTGTTCCGACACTCCCTGGTGCTAGGAACCCAGGGCCACCTTCCCTGTTCTCACTCCTCATTTCAGGACCACCAATTCTGGTCTGGGTCTCTGTCTTCTCTCGGTATCAATTGAGGTGTTGTCAGCCAGCTCTCTACTTGTGCCCCAGGCAAGCAATTCACCTGAACAGGGTCGTATTTGTCTGAGTCCTGAAGCCTTAGTTAGTGCAATCAACATAATTACCCACAACCCAAAGTATCTTGTTTTAGGCATCAGAAATATTTTCTTTAGTTTCAGTTTTCAATTAAGTGCTTTCATGTTTTTAGTCAAATATTGGCTCTCGTAATCTATTCATTTCTTTTCCCAGTGGAATTCAGATGCCCTTTATAAAGCTGATTTTCCTTTCCTTTCTTTTTTTTCTTTCTTTTTTTTTTTTTTTTTTTTTTTTTTTTTTTTTTTTTTTTTTTTTTTTTTTTTTTTTTTTTTTGAGACGGAGTCTGGCCCTGGAGTGCAGTGGCGCAATCTTGGCTCACTGCAACCTCTGCCTCCCGGGTTCAAGTGATTCTCCAGCCTCAGACACCTGAGTACCTGAGACAAGAGGCGTGCACCACCACTCCCAGCTAATTTTTGTATTTTTAGTAGAGACAGGGTTTCACCATGTTGGCCAGGCTGGTTTCAAACTCCTGACCTCAAGTGATCTGCCAGCCTCAGCCTCAAAAAGTGCTGGGATTACACGCATGAGACACTGCGCCCAGCCCCAAAGTTGATTTTTAATGGTAAACATTTAAGTGAAAATAAGAAACTTCTTTTGAGAAATGTCTACTCATGTCCTTTGCCCACTTTTTCATGAACTTATTTGATTGTTTTGCTGTTGAGTTGTTTGAGTTCCTTGTATACTCGGGATGTTAGTCGCTTGATGGATAAATAGTTTGCAAATATTTTCTCCCATTCAACAGGTTGTCTTTTCGCTCTGCTGACTCTTCTGTGTGCAGAATCTTTTTGGTTTAATACAGTCCCATTTGTCTATATTTCTTTTGAACAAATATATAAAAAACTGCTCAGCCTTAATAATCATCAGGAATATGTACATCAAAACCAAATGAGATATTATCTTATCTCAGCTAGAATGGCTACTATTAAAACAACAAAAAATAACAGACACTGGCAAGGATTTGGAGAAAAGGGAACTTTTACACACTGGATATGGGAATGTAAATTAGTATAGCCATTATGGAAAGCAGTATGGAAATTTCTGAAAAGACTAAAAATAGGACTACCATACAATCCAGCAATCCCACTTCTGAGTATGTATCCAAAGCAAAGGAAAGCAGTATATCAAAGGGATGCCTGCACCCCCATGTTTATTGCAGCACTATTCACAATAACAAAGATATGGTGTCAAGCTAAGTGTCCATTAGTGATAAATGGATAAAGAAAATGTGGCGTATATACACAACGGAATACCATTTGGCCGTAAAAAAGAAAAAAATCCTGTCATTTGCAGCATGTTTGGAACTGGAGGTCAGTATGTGAAATGAAACAAGTCAGACACAGAAAGACAAACATTGGATCTTCTCACTCATACTCTGGAGCTAAAAAGTTGATCTCTTGGAGGTAGAGAGAGTAGAATGATGGTTATCAGAGGCTGGGAAGGGTGTTTAGAGGGAAGTGAAAAGAGGTTGTTTAATGGGTACAAACATACAGTTAGGTAAAAGTGTTATTGGTGCAGGGGTGTCCAGGTTCTTGGTGGCTTTAACAAAGAATCGGACAAAACGCACAAAGCAAGGAAAGAATGAAGCAGCAAAAGCAGAAATTATTTGAAAATGAAAGTACACTCCACAATGTGGGAGCAGGCCTGAGTACAGGGGCTCAGGAGCCCCGTTACAGAATTTTGAGGATTTTAAATATCGTCTAGAGGTTTCCATTGGTTACCTGGTGTACACCCTATGTAAATGAAGAAGATGAAGTAAAGTTACAAAGTCATTTACTCGGTGTATGCCCTAGGGAGAGGATATTTCCTGTCATAGGTGAAGTGTGAATTGGCCTTATACTCCCTGCCTCCAGACCCTATTTTCCTGTGGCAGAAGGAATAAGTTCTAATATTCAGAAGTAGAGTAGGGTGACTAGTTAACAACCATAAATTTTATATTTCAGAATAGCTAGAAGAAAGGACTAGAAATGTTCCCAACACAGAAATGATCAATGCTTTAGATGATGGATACTCCAAATGCCCTGACTTGATTACTACTCATGCAACAAAATGTCACATGTACCCCATAAACATGTACAAATATCATGTGTCAATAAAAATATTTTAAGATAGGAGACTACCTTTTTACATGTAGTAATCTGAACTCTTACTGCAGAACTATCTTATCCAACAGCTCTGAAGTATAAGGAAAGCAAAAAGGAATTTAGAAACTTTCCTCCAAAACACGTCTCTAAGTTTTATTTTACTCAGTTATAACCTTTAAATGAAATTATCACAGGGCATAAAACATTCAGCAAAATATAGAGGCAATTAGGAGCAAGAAAATAGGACCAGCTTGCATGTGGTACTACGCAATTTTTTAATGACCCACTTTCAGACATTTTTAATGTGACACAAAATAAATTCTGCTGTCACAACTTCCCATCTTCCCTCCAATCTTGAAGCATAGCTGGTGGGCTTCCAGAAAGACAGCTCTGTTCTAATCAATTAGCTGAGCATCTCATCTTCTAATCCACACCCTCCACACTTGAATCACAGCATAACTAGCTTCCCTCCCTGGCCTCTCCTCTCAAGCCATCTTCTACACAGCAAATATGTATTGTGTGCCTAGTATGTGCCAAGCTCCACCAACATACACCATTGCTCTTCATTTAACCCATAGGAGAACCTATCTTTAAACTCTTATTTTGTTTTTTTAAAAATAAAATCCACAAGGACTGGTAATTCTTGTTTGTTATAGTTTGACAGTGATAATCATCCTTTTGACCTTGACATCCCACATCACGCAGTTGTCTACCCCTAACCCTGACCACCTAGGATTCTGGCTGGTGGTTGTACTTAGGCCTGAAAGTAGACTCTAGAGTTGATGAAACCTACAGGCAAGGAGGAAGCATGTGACATGGAAATGATCAATATCACATTAGGGTCCCCAGCGCTGTTTGTAAACGACTTCAGTGGTCTAGCCTGAGGATCTACATTGCCCTTACAAAGAGTTCCAAACAAAAATAATTTCCTCCTTTTTTTTTTTTTTATTTGAGTCATATGTCATTTGTAAGTTCAGAACTGTTTTTATACAAGTACTGGTATATTTTGGCAAAATAGTCCCATTACTTTGTAGTCATCCTTTTACAAAAAAGCCCTCTTAATCCATTTGTACATCTAGGTCATTTTCAACCTGAATAACTAGATACCATTTTTTCTCAGTTTTGACAACATGACAATGGTTTTTTATGAGTTCCCTTTTATTCCTTTTTTAAAAAATGTAACTAGATATAGATTTATCATTGGTATAAAACATACAAATCTAACAATGGCCATTGTTTGTTTTCGGTTATACATCATAACTGTGCATAAAATTTCTAACATACGGCCAGGTGCAGTGGCTCACACCTGTAATCCCAGCATGTTGGGAGGCCAAGGCAGGTGGCTCGCTTGAGCTCAGGTGTTCAAGATCAACCTGGGCAACATGGCAAAACTCTTTCTCTACCAGAAATACAAAAAATTAGCCAGGTGTGGTGGTGCGTGCCTGTGGTCCCAGCTACTCAGGAGGCTGCCGGCGGGAGGATCACTTAATCCTGGGAGGCAAGGGTTGCAGTGAGCTGTGATCCTGCCACTGCACTCCAGCCTGGGCAACAGAGTGAGATCTCTCAAGAAAAGAAAAAAAATCTAACATACTTTTTTTTTTTTTAATTTTGGCTGCACACAGTAATATTCTTCTCTCTCTTAATTCTAAGGATGCTCTTATTCTAACTGGATATCACTGGTTTCACCAAGAGGATCATCCGCATGCTGAGAACAGGGGCTGCCAATTTGCTACCAGCAGAATGAGAGGGAAAGTGCCTCTGGCCAAGGAGACCTCAGTGATCTGTACATGCCTCCAGTTACACAACAGACGGATCAGCCTGAAATGATGACAGGGGGCAAAGAATGGCACCTGTTATAAACTGCACCCATTTCTAACTCTGTGTTGCTGAAAAGGCCTGGGCTGCCTGAAGGAGTGTTTGTGTTTTCTTCTGCTGTAAAAAATGTACTCACCCTAAGGAGTAGAGGCGGCACTGCTTGTTGCGGATTTGATGAGCTAAATTGAACCTGTCGTCAAGACACACTGACCAGGGCTTGTGTGTAGGACTAGAGTCAGTAGCCAGGCTGTCTGTATTCATGTGATTGCATGCAATCTGTAAAGATTGGAAATCAATGTGAATAACTTGAAATGTTGGATGATAAATAGCAGGTAGGGACTTATTGCTTCCCCATCCCAGAAAACCATAATAGGAAAGTTATATCCTTCTCCACTGCTAACTACTCTTCTCCCCAGGGAACCACAAGACTGCTATAACGTGTTTGGAGGAATTTCAATTACCAAATAATAAGTAATCTCATGGAGACTATATGCAGGTTTGGAGGGAAGTTATGAGCTGCTGTAGCCATGTGCAGGTGTATTGGAGAGAACAAATCAGGAGCAAAAGGTGGGAGGTGTGGGGGTATCAGGAAGGCTTTGTAGAGGGGTGCTAGTCCTGGAGGATGAACTGAGAGGCTCAGACCAAGAAGGGCATTCCAGATACAGAGAATTGTGCTCACCTTGCATCCAGACACAGAGAACAGTGCTCACCATACATAGAGGTCTTTGTTACCCAGAGTCCTTGCTATAAAATGTGGGGCACAATCATAGGCATAGATCTCAGAAGCATACTCCCAAGATTAGCTATCCCTTATTTCAGGCAGATAAGGTGGGGCCACTAAGGTCCCAAAAGGTGGCAGGTGTCATCCAGGGTAAACAGCTGATCACGGGTCAAATGAAATTAATTGGCAGTCCCTGCTGATAAGGCAGCGTTCTTTGTGATACACTGCTCTAATGTACTTCCTCCTGGGGAAGAAGGGCAAGAGCCCCAGGCAGGAGGCTCTTCCTGAGCTAACAGAAGCACTTTTCTTAACTCATCCATCAAAATTAGATAAGAAAACCAAAGGGAATGTGTGTGTAAGTCAGACAGAAGCAAGTCTCTAATTTCAGCTGCACACAAAGCAAATATACTTCATAAGGGATTCTGACTTGTGTTTCAGGCTGGTACATTTTGCACAGCTGAGGCAGGCTGTTGAAACCAAAGAATATAAGGAAAATAAGTTCTGTGGCCAAGATATTTACCTTACCGAGCAACAGTATTTTCCTGCAATCCCTTAAAACTCTCAGTCATCATGATGCTCCATGAATGCAGCAGATTTTGCTGTCACAGCATAGACCACAGACCGCTCCAGATGCAAAGAATGTTTTCAGAATCATTGCTTTCACGCATTGGAAAACATTAACAGCAAGCAATCTTCTTCTTAAGAAGATATTCTAGAGCCAGGCACGGTGGCTCACACCCATAATCCCAACACTTTGGGAGGCCAAGGCAGGGGGATTGCTTGAGCCCAGGAGCTCAAGACCAGTCTGAGCAACATGGCAAAACTTCATCTTTACAAAAAATGCAAACACTAGCCAAGCATGGTGGCATGTGCCTATAGTCCCAGCTACTCAGGAGGGTTGATTGATTGAGGTCGGGAGGTTGAGGCTGCAGTGAGTCATGACTGTGCCTCTGCAGTCCAGCCTGGGCAGCAGAGCAAGACCAGACCCTGTCCCAAAAAATAAAAAAATAAATAAATAAATAAATAAAAATTAAAAAATAAAAGAAGATATTCTAAGTTTGTCCAATCCTTTAACTGATTTTGTAAAATTTTAATCTGAGACGATCATATTAGGTGGAGCCTATTTGACTAACACAGCATTGGCATTACTCTTGCTATCACCTATAGGTGGCCTGGCAATACCATCCTGCACTATTTATCAGTGAATGTGAGTCTTCTGCCAGGATATTTCCTTTTTTTCAGAGGAAAGATGAAAAAGTGAAACTCCTATGTATCTTTTCCTTGAATCCAGTATTTTTCTACTTCTCTATCTTCGACCACTGTTTAACAGAAAAAATAATCAGAGAAAATGGAATTGAATCTTTTCTCAAGCAACAGCTACAGAATACATTTATTAACTGGGTGCATCAACATGTTAATTTGATAATTCGTCTCCTACTATTCTCCCACAGATAAATGGAAATTATGTCTCTGCCTGCCCACCTCCTATTCCCCACCCACTCGCCTAAGGGAAGAGAAGTTGCTAATCTAGTTAGTCAGAGCTCAATGTGTTCATTGGACCCTGTTCTGCTAGTGGGCAGATTACTGTGCCTTAAACATGGGCACCTTCCTGAGCCCTACCTCAAGTGGGAAGCTAGTTAGTCCAGGGCAGTTTCTGTGTGCCCCAAAAGCATGCCTGGACCTTATAAGCCTGAGCCATCTGCTTCGGAGAAGCCTCCTGGGATATTTTTATTAAAGTGGTATGATGATTCCCATTTGCTATTGTTCTTTGTGTACACGTCCCTGAAGACCTCCATAATGACAGATCAAGATGTGATGTGTTGCAGGTCCTTGCTCATCATTCCTTCCTAATGCCATCAAAACCTAGTTCTAGCCTTTCCCACAGTATTTCTCAAGGCGTGGTCCACCTACATCAGAATCACCTGGGAGGTACCTAAAATGCAGATTCCTCCTTCCAGATCTACAAACTCAGAGTCTCTCAGATTGATACGTGAGAACATGCATTTTAATAAGCTCCACTGGGTGATTTTTATGCAGATGGCCTTTTGAGTTTACTGGAGGCCTTTTGTAAAGCCCCAGTGAAATTTTCCAGCCTAGTCACATCTCTCTGCCTTAGCAAATTAAAAGAGGCTAACACTTAGGCCAGAGCTTTAAACTGAAAACAGCAGCCCCTCTGACCTCCACCCCTAACAATGGGCTGAAGGGGTTGGCACTGACAATTAGCCAGAGGCCTCTGACAGTCAGATAGGCATTGAAGATGGGGAGTCAGGACTTTCAGATCCAGCTGCAACTCCTTTGCTAAAGTCAGGAATTAGGGTTTTACTTTATTAAAGACAACACTTTGTCTACTTTAAGCATTTCTTCTTACTCTACCGATTTCATCTTGAACAGATATATCCCTATTAAAGAGACATTCTTTTTCATTCACTCCCTCTGATAACATCCCCTCTTCCTTCCTTAGCTCAGGTAAAAAAAAAAAAACAAAAAACAAGAATTATTCGATTTTAAACATTTGTTAACCATCTCATTGATAAACATTAGCTTTTGTAAACAACTGAAAGTCCTCCATAAACTTCTGCTCCTAAAAATTAATTATTGATTTTTCAAACTTTCCAGTTAAGACTTATGGCCAGGGCTTCAATAAACTCTCTTACAAGCAAAATAAGCGAGGGCAGTAACTTCTAGCTAAGTTCCAACTCAACTAATTATGTTCTCTGTCTCTCTAATTCTCCTTGCAATTTTAGCCAAATAAAGCAAATTAGGCCTAGACAAAGGAAAACAGTCTCCAGGAAAAAATATTTTCTGAAATGTTTTTTAGTTATTTAACTTAAAGGGATCTAATTTATTTTTATTTCAATTTGGATCCCAAAAGCTTGAATGGCATTTCTGCCAACCCATAAGTAGAATCTGGCAAAGAAAGCCCTTAAAATTTTGGAACTTAAGAATCACTTCAATGATCTTCTGCATATTTACAGAATAATCAACTCCATGCTGTATGTTTATACAGTACCATTATTTTTGAAAGGCTCAAGGGCAGAATTGTATGTTTATTGTTTTTATCCTGGTGTGTGTGTGTGTGTGTGTGTAGCAGTAAATACAACAGATACTCTGTTGTAAAGTTATAGTCCAAATATCCAGAGCATGGGTTCTTATTCTTAGGTTATTCTTATAAATTGACAGATGGGTAGATAACTAGGTAGAGAGACAGATATGGATGGATAGATGGATAGATGGATAGAAACATAGATAGATGATAGATAGATAGATAGATAGATAGATAGATAGATAGATAGATAGACAGATAGATAAACAGGCTTTAAAACATATTTTCTTTTTTCTTTTTTAAAACAGCCACTGTTGCTTAAATTAATTTTACACTGCAAGGCATGCTTCCTGGAGGCATATGGTTTGGGGGTTGCCATAAAAAGCTGAATCTGGAGACTTCCCTTAGAACAGAGAACTGTATTTATGATTTAACTATTTGTTAGCAGCAGATAGTGTACCATGAACTGCAGAACTCTGCTGTGTATCATGGTCTTTCACATTAAAATAATAATAATAACAAATACTTAATTAAGCTGAGCTTGATGTTCTGCATACTCTACCCAAACACCATATCCTCTGGACCTTCCTTTAAACATGCATGGCCCTAACCATGCCTCCAGGACCACAACCCACGAGTCAAGGAGTGCCACGCCCATGCTATCTCATGCCATGCTGTCCTATACCCTAAGCCTCTGCTCCCAAGATCCCCTAGCCTAGGAAACTTTCCCCAGCCATCTGTCTGCCCCCTGTTAGAGAACACCCAACTCTCTTGCACCCTAGCTATTTACCAGTATGGAGGGGTGTTTTATTGAGACTTAATATCCCAAGGCCCAGCACAACGCCAGCCACAAAGCAGGTATTCAACAAATTCCTTCTGGATTGAGAAATGCATATGTCAATGATGCACATATCAGACGCTGGCCTTGCTATACAAGCTTCAGCACAGGTTTGGGGGAAGTATATTTCTTAATGTTAAAAAGCATCGTAAGAGGGTGGGGGTGGAATTCGCATTAGTACCTTCAGAGCTTTTATTTTTTTCCTTGCCCATTATGACTCACTTCTGCTAACTGGAAGTTTTAGGTAAGAGTGATTCTGATATTCTGCTGGTTTTACAGGTTTTCATTGTCAACATGAGTTCTAAACGAAGCATAAGCCACAAAAGCAACTATAAAGCTTTGCATTACATACAGAAGGGGAAGGAGCATTGGTTAGTAAAGGATTCTGATTAAGAACCATTTAGTGTCATCTCTGGTGACTCCCACCTCCTGGCCTTCCAGTAACCCAGAAGTACACAACAAAGCACAGAACCTTACCTGGCTAAAATGGCCCCCCATTAAAAACCACTGTGAGGTCTAGAACTTTACATCATTCTTTTTAGAGGACAAAAAATCCTTCTAGTGAGCTTCAACAATAAATTCTTTTTTATTGCTCATCAAGCTGAATAACAATTATACATCCAGTTATATACCTTCACAACCAGTTGGTTAGATACTTAAGGGCAGAGGCTGTATCCTCAGGGCCCAGAACAGTTCCTGGCACCTTGTAGGAATTCAAAAATACTTGGTTAATAACCATTCTATACTATGCTATGCACACTACAAGCTCACAGAACTGGGAGGGATCGTAGAAATAATTTGATATACTCTCTTCCATTTTAGGATCAGAACAAGGAGAGCCAGAGAAGCAAAGTAAAGTACCCAGGTTTATAAGATTGAACTACAGAGGATGCTTTAAAAAAGAATTTTTTTTCAGCCGGGCGCAGTGGCTCACACCTGTAATCCCAGCACTTTGGGAGGCCAAGTCCAGGCAGGTGGATCACCTGAGATCAGGAGTTCAGGACCAGCTGGCCAACATGGCAAAACCTATCTCTACTAAAAGTACAAAAATTAGCGGGGCATGCTGGCGGGTTCCTGTAATCTCAGCTACTTGGGCGACTGAGACAGGAGAACTGCATGAACCCGGGAGACAAAAGTTGCAGTGAGCTGAGATTGTGCCATTGCACTCCGGCCTGGGTGACATAGGGAGACTCTGTCTCAAAAAATAAAAAAAAGAATTTTTCTCCTCTCAGTCCATAATTTCTGGGAAAGATCCAAGAGGGATCTAAAAATGACCATTTCATGCCTCGATAAATTCTAAGCAAACATGCCTTTTATAAGTTATGGAACATTAATATGAAATATATATAGAAATGGAATTTGGTGGCTTGCACTATGTAAATTTATTTTGGTGGGTGAAGCCCATAGTTCTCAAATACAATTCATAAAATTAACCTCTTATTTTCTTCTGGAGCCTTTAAGGGCTTTTGAAAATCACAGTTAAGAGGTCCAGATTCTTATCCTTTATGTAAAATTGAACTACAAAATTAAAATTTCAGTATTTTAATTAAGTCTGCCTAAGTCCATCAAATTAATTTGCAGCAGCAAAATAAGATAAAATCATGAGAAGCACAGGGACTAATTCATTATCCTATCACTCATGATTAATTCAACAAGCTTTTACGTCCATGTTTGAGTGACAAATATTAAAATCCCTATGATTGTCTGACTGCATTATATGAGAAATGGGACTTTCTTTTACCCTTAAACTAACTAACCTCCTAAAGATCTAGAAATATATTCTCTCCCACAGATGAAAAGTGGGCTTTGCTGCCAGCGAGGCTGGGGAGGAGAAGAGGGATGCCAAGTGTGGGCTCGAGGGAGATTTTTAAAGTCCAGGATCCCCCGTACAGCACCAGCTCCACTGTGCAGCTTCCTGAGCCAGCCCATGTGCAGCTCACAGGCAGTCTGAGCTCCTAATTTGCTAGCACCTCTCAGTTCAGGGCTAAATTTCCCTTGGGTCCTGATTTCCTTTTCTGTCTCTCTTTCCCCCTGGGATCAGGCAACTTGAGAACGGAACCTCCTGATTAACATGTCAAAAGCCATAGACTCTCCTTAATGGACAGTCTCTTTGCCTGCTCTGGGGCACTGGCTCAGCCTTGAGGTGGGCAGGAGCTGCCACAATGTGTTAAGTCATTAATAAAGGCTTGTGCTCAGTAACGATTTAAAGTGCTCTGAGGATAGAGAGCCTTTGGATTCATTACCTCCTCAGCACACTGCCTGCAAAGCCTCCTCTGCTCTCTTGCCTAGCACGTCCCTGGCTGCCAAGCATCTGTGGCAGAAGAGTGGAAAGGCAAGTTCCTCCAAATACAAAATGGTGCTTGAACATCTAGATGATGGCTTTATTTTGTGACATACTCGACTGCCTACTCACAGGGACCAATCTGTCATTTCAAATGGTTTTCCAAAGCAATTTTCTAAAGTGGATCTTTAAAACACTTTGGGATGAATCATTTAAACATTTCAGGTTGGTAACACTCTTGGAAGTAGGAACATGCCCTGGCAAATGGAAAGCATCTTATCTGCCTCCAAGTGAGTAGATAAGTGTAAGCAACAACGCCTCTGAACACACTTCCCATCAAGTCCTTATCAGGAGTCGCTGAGAACCTCCCCCACCTCCTTCTTTCCAAAGGGGCAATCAGGATCTTTTACATTCTTCTCTAACTGGTTTGAGCCTGAAACACAACCTGGGTGGTGCTGATATATCTCAGGAACCTCCAGGCTTCTTCATCCAGGGACTGAGCAGGGCCTGCCCAAGGCTGGAGATCTATATGCCACCGGGGACCCTGCAAGAAACAGAAAACACAGGTTGTGTGTAAGGAAGGAGGAGCTGGGCGGGAGGAGAAGGATACGGTATCAGAGACGGCGTGAGGCTGCTTTAGCTGTCAGCAACACACACACATGTGCACACAGGCAGCAGGGGGCTCTTTGGGAGCTGCTGTCATTAAGGCCACATCAGTCACAGGGAGACAAATGAGGCCTGAGGCAACCAGCTCCCAGGTTAAGCAAGAGAGTACAAAGGCCCCGGGAAGGTCTGACTATGCATTTATGATCAAAGGCAAACTCCACTTGACCCCCTTGGGGTCTCCCTTAACTGCAGCTTATTTTATATGAGGCAGTGCTCCACTGGGAAGAAAAACTCCCTGTCAACGACAGTCTCCCAAAACTTAGAGCTTCAGGAATACGTGCCTCCCTAAGCAAAGCACCATAATGCTGGGGACTCCTCTTTGCGGGAAAGAAATACTCTGGGCATTTTCTTATCTTCCTCAGTGCAAGGAGAAGGGGCCATCCCCCTTGGCTGCTGGAACCCTGCATATGCAAAGTGAGGACCGGGGAGCTGTCATCACCAGGGCTGGGGAGGGTAGCTTTCTAGCACTTCGGGATGAAAGTGTTAGAAACACTGCTAACCACCACCTGTTAGCAGAGGTTATGGGTGCTCTCATAAGCAGAGTGGTTAAGGATGACCCCCTCAGCCCCCTTCTGCAGTAAGGATCAGTGGATGAAGGGTTGGGGAATGCAGTGGTCTGGAGGAAGCAAAAATGGTAGCCCCTTCAGTGAGAAGGAGGCACTAGTCAGGAAATCCTTATTAGAGCTCAGAACTCCCTACCTATAGTTGCCACCACTGGGAGACCTCCAGGAGGTTCGCTGCAATTCCCGGGGTGGGGAAGGGAGAGCTCCAGTAGCTGGTGGGGTCAATGTCTAGCGCCAGGAAAGGCTTTGGGTGTCATAGCATAGGGTTCCTGCAGTGTGGTGAGAATGGGCCCCTAAGCCCCTTTTTATGGTGAAGAAGTGGGCAGGGGAGGCTTCTGGGAGAAGATAAAGGGATCATTCACATACACACAGTGTTTTCCAGTCAGGTACTGTGGAGGGAACTGTCTGAACCCAAAGAAGGAAACATCTAGACAGGCCAGCCATGAGACACTTTAGTACAAATGTGGTTTGTTGCCCCTAGATGGGATAGCCTAGGTGACTTGGGGTTACACGGAAAACAAGGAAGTAGTGGGGAACAAGGTTAGTCTGCATGAGGCCAGACCTTATTTGGGTTTGGGGAAGAGGAATCCACTCTCACGTGAGGGTCTGAGATCAATGCAAGCACTTTGGCAGTGATGAAGGGTTATTCAGTGTAGGTATCATTAGACACACACCATTGCAGAAACCCTGTAGAGCCCCCAGTCCTACATCCCCACAGCCTGTACTGCCCTTGTAGGGGCTGAGCACCATGCAGTCCCTCTACATTGAAGGAGCCTTCCCTGGTTTCCACAGGCTGCCTTTTTTCAGGAACCCATAGAGCAGGGCCAACTGCATGGGCATGCAACCTGCGCAGTCTTAGGAGGCCATGCTCAGTTTAATGCTCTGCTCATGCTCTCTTGAAATTCTTAGTAATTTTATTTTTAATTACTGTTCCTTGCGAACTCATAGGCAGTATGCCTAGAGTTAGTTGAAATTCTTGATAATTTTTGAACAAGAGGCCCTGCATTTCATTTTATACTGGGCCCACAAATCATGTAGCCAGTCTTCCCTGAGGGGCACCTCCTGGAAGAACAGCCTTTTCTTATAGCTCTTGTTCTGTGCAGGCTGAGCAGGCAGAGACTCGAGCAAGAGAGCAGGAGAACATTAAGTCATACACCTTCCCAGTTAATGCCTCCCACCACCCCTCCTCCCCCAATTTCTTTTTTCCTTCCTTGAATTCGATGTTGATTACCATTTGGGCAAACAATATTTATTGAGCCTTAGCCACTCTGTACCAGGCCCTGGTGAGTACAGATATGACTAAAGCCCAGGCTCTCCCAAGAGGCACTCATGGTCAGGTTGGGGAGACAGATATGTACAAAATAACTTTGATAGGAAAACGCTAAAATATTCAGGAGAGTTGTTCTCTTTGGGAAATCATTCGATTCTGGAATCATAAATTACAAACACATTTAAACACAAATGCCTCCAGCCCTGCTTGGTCACAGTGAGAGAGTGAGTGCTTCCCAGGTTGCTGCGGCAGCCAACACAGCAACATGATGTCCCAAGAGCACTCAGTGAGGCCTGGGATTTAAAGCCTCCCACTTCACTGTCATGGACCACTCACAAGGGCCTCCAACATCTGGCCCAGGAGGCCCTGGATGAAAATGATGAAGTTCGCATGTTACGGTTTTCCTCAAAATCAGGAGTTGGCAAACCTTTTCTATAATGGGTCAAATAGCCAATGTTTTAGACTTTGCAGGCCACACAGTTTCTGTTGCAACTCCTCGCCTCCTGTTGTAGCTCAAGAGCAGCCATAGACAGTAAGTAAACAAATAGTCATGGCTCTCTTCCAATAAAGCTCCATTTACACAAACAGGCAGCAGGCTGAGTTGGGCCTGCAAGCTGTAGTTTGCCGACTCCTGCTCCAGCTGATTCTAATTCAGAGGTAGGCTGGCCTAGAAAAGGGGGGTTACTGAAATAACGCAAGGGAGACAGACTATGATGTTGTTGGGGCTCAGAACATATTCCCCAAAGTCTAGTGCTTTGGCATGTTATGCACTTTAAAGTGTTGTAGGACTTTCTTTTTAGTGCGGATAAAATGGACTCTTTGTCATATGGCCGTGAGAGATTGAACTCACAGACACTTTGAAGGGTGAGGAAAATGGAGTTTTTTGAGCAAAAAGGAAAAAAAGGGAAACAGGGACTTTCAGCAAAGCAAAAGTTGTGCTAGCTGGCTTCCTGCCTCACAGATTGAATCCCAGGTTCCACCCCAGAACAGGTGAGAGCAGGCTCCTCCCCGCTGCAAACATTGCCAACTTCCCGAGGCTCCGCCCCAGCCTGCACTCCTCCCAGGGTGCAGGCCGGTCAGAGTTTCCCCCCGGTCCGCTTTATACTTGGCTGTCTCAAAAGGGCATTGGATGGGCCTCAAAGGAAAGTTATCCCTGATCTTTTCTTCTTCCTGCCCTTCACTCCTCTTTCTTCCCCAAAGTGAGTTCTAGAAACCAGAATTCCTCTTCTGCAAGGCAGGTGAGAGAAACTGGAGACATTCTTCCCCAAAGCAAGCCGTAAAATCTATAAAGGTCACTCTCTCCCTTCTCCCCCAATACCTCTGTTCCAGAGGGATCTTGCCCCATACCCAGGATGAAGAAACACTACACAGAGAGACCAAGAAGAAGCCGAACAGACAGTCCTTGCTGGGGATCCCCCCTCAGTCTACTACTATGAGATTAGACCCTTTTGTCCAATCACACTTCCATGTAGCTGTACATCTTCATGGAAACTAAGCATTAAAAGAGATCATTTTCTCTGCATCGTTGGGTCATTTCTGAAGGCTCCAATGTCATGTAAAACTTTGATTAAATACATTTGTTGTGCTTTTCTCTCATTAACCTGTCTTTTGTCAAAGCAGTGTTGGCTGTGTGTGTACGATGAGTGAGGAAAGGTATTACACAGTTCACCCCTACAATGTCTAGATTATAACCAAGGTCGTCATCTGGGTGACTTGGGCAGTCAGTCAGGGGCCCAGCAGGATCCAGTGGGCTCATTCAAACTGCTAATTTGAGAGAATTTAACAAAAAGACTATTTACAAAGGTGTGGGCAGGGCTTAAGGAAACCAATAAGGAATAAATAATGCAATATCTGTGTCTAGTAACACCAGAGAGCCCTTACAAGCCTAAAGGGAAATACATGGAGGAGTCTGTAATAGAGGAATACAGACAATCCTATTACATGTTCCACACTAACTGTCTGCCCTACCCAAAAATCTCCTGCCTCCTATTGGTCAAACTCAAAGTGAGGCTGTGCTTGGTCCCTGCAGGTCAGCCCCCCAGGGGTGGAGCAGGGTGGAGGTTGGGCCAGCAGGAGCAAATGGAAGGCTTCTTGTTCCAGCATTCTTTCGAAAGAGGCAGTGAGACTTGACCAAGGAGTCATTCATTCATTCAGTGGGCATTTGTGCCACATGCCAGGCTCTGTGTTACAATTTAATATAGGCCACAGCTGTGTAAACCAGTGAATACAATAAAGGTTATAGGGGCTCTGACAGAAATCTCAACAGGGTACGCTGGGGGCACAGAAAGGTGCAGTGCCTGAGTATTAATCCAAAATAAATGCCTGAAAATACAAAGGCAGAGCGTCGGAAGCAGTCTCCACTGCTAGAAGCCAAAAAGCACATCAAAGATTTTTCCTGCATTATTAAAGAGACACCCTAAACACAGTAGTAGCATTTAACCTGGGCTAACACACGAAAGTAACTTCACAGATCAATAATTTTGAATCTATATGGTAAATCAATATGGTGAAACTATAGAATTATCTTAAGGGCCAGCAAATAGTATTCTTCTTGCAACCTAATATTTTTCATTTCCAACTGAATGTTGACCACAAAGAAGCTAAGCACAGCAGCTGGAACAGTGAATAATATTAAGTTGAGGAGTCTCAGATGGGGATATAATAGAAATACTGCAAATAGATGCCCTCAGATGTGCTCTGGCTTGATGCTTTGGTTGAGCTGTTTAAAAAACATTTCACATAAAGCAATGTTCTTATTGGAATCAGTCTGACAGCAGTTTGTGATTATTTCCCCATGGAAACCACTAGCTTTTATCATCTCTTTCAATTATCATTTGTCTTAATTCTCTAGTGTACACATCAACATTTGTCCTTCCCAAATTCCCACAAAGAAAATTCTCTGAGCACCTTAAAACATCAATGGCAGGTTAAATAGAAAAGGACAAAAATCATCTTTCCCTTTTTAAAAGCTTTTTTAAAAAAAATCATTGTGATTTTACTCCAAACAATTCTCTAAATGCCAGGGCATATTAAATGCCTATCATC